TCTAACATTTTTTCCCCTTTATAAATAAACCCTTTTACACAACATTCAGCATACACACACTATATATATATATATATATATATATATATACATACAAATATTGCATATATCTTCAGTTAAGTTTTAAATCTGAATAAAGATGTGTAATCTGAAAGCTAATTTTAAAATTTGTTTTGGTCTTTTAAGTGGTTGTGACATGTAAGAGATTATTGTAGTATGATCTCTGATTAAACTTTCTCCTATTCGTTCTGGGAGCAGCTGTCTGAACTGTGGTCTGATCCAGAATGGATGCCCTCTAGGCACGTCGGCCTCGCTACAACATCCAATGAGGGCTCTACGTATAAAATGTCGATCTTCCCTAGTCGCACCAGCTCATTGAACGACACTGCGCATGTGCAAAAGTAAAGCGCTTATTTTATAATTCGGCAGGCCACCCAAATTCATTTGATGTAATATTTCTGCCATACTAATAATTCCCCAAAATATTTTCAAAGAAGATATGTGCTAAAGTTGGCTAAAAATGGTAGCTGAACATTACATGTTTCATTTTGACAATCATCTGATGTCTGCCGACAGACATTAGCTTAAAAGAGACATTAGCTTAACATAGACATTAGCTTTACACTCGCAAAGACGACATTCGCTAACAAATTAAACATATCCCAATTTATGGGCAAACTTATCAATAAGTAAAGTAAAAATAAGGAAAATGTCAGATGTCGGTAATTTATAAATGTACCTACTCAAAATTAGTCTTTTCGTCGAGTTTTTTTTTTTTTTTTAAAGAAGCAGTTGTTCGTCGTGCATATACGGAGAGTCAAGTGCGAGAAGTGCGGAGCAGTTTATAAAACCACTGTAAATTGCGCATGCGCAAGAATACAATTGCCCGCCGCACCAAGAAAAAAGACGTGGAATGCGCAAAAATGTGCGATTTTTCACGCAGAACTGCTATAAGGAGGTTAGAGGGATTTTTAGCATATTTTCTTCTTAGATTAAAAACAAAGTGTTTTTCGGAAGGTAGTCTCGAACCCGCGAACCGTATTTCAGTCTACGTTGTTCCTCCGCCGCTTTAAATAGACCCTCCCAGGACGTAAATTCTTTCATCCATAGAATTAAAACTATGGCAGAGTTTTCTTCTTAGAGTAATATATTTCTGCTGTTATGGAAACCGTTGTACTGTTTTTAGCATATTTAAGTCTTACATTGAAAGCAGCGTTTATGGGAAAGTAGTGTCCAACCCGCGAACAGTATTTCAGTCTCTGTTGTTCCTCCGCCGCTTTAAATAGACCCTCCCAGGACGCAAATTCTCTCGTGCCTAGAATTAACACTATTGGAGGTTTTTTTTTATAGATTAATATATTTCTCCTGTTATGATAAACGTTGTACTGAAACCTTAAAAAGGATATTTATAGCAATAGGTAATGTTTTGTGCCCATTTTAACTTTTAAATTAGATATAATTTAATAATTTAGTCAGGTATAACAAGAGTAATTGAACTTTGTTGGGCTAAAATTGGAGAAAGCATAAGGTTTCAATGATGCTTAAATAACAAGTAGGTAAATACACATGTATATAATTAAATTTATTTTAACTGTGTATATGCCCACTAGCTTTAATGTAACAGTAGTGTAATTGTACGTATATCTGCCTAAGCAGAGCTTAATTGAGTTCATATAATCCCACAGAAGTCATCAAAGTTCATGTGAAGAGCATCACCTGCCCTAACTTCCAGCTGCTGTGATTTACATAGGCCCTGGCATCACTCAACTTATCTTTAAACATTTTACATCAAGGCTATGAAATGAGGGAACAACCAATCAGAACTTAAAAACAGCATTTATTTTCAGATTAAAGAACACATCATCTATCTAAAGAAGACCATAATAGAAAATATATCATAACACCAATTATTGATAAATAAAAAATAGGGCATACACTCATAACAGTTAAGTAACAAAGGAGGAGTTTTTACTATTGATTGGGTAAGTATAAACATCTAAATCCAAGTGAACATATTTAAAGACGTATCTACAGAGGTGCTTCCTTCTACAGTTTCTGTGGCAGAAGGTGGTAATGCAAAAGCAGCTGTGTCCAACTATATTGTTTTGGCCTGCCCACATTTGGTGAACTTATTAAAAGGCACCTCTCTGATATATTCTCATTTGCTGGTCTCAGTGGCGGTGGTGGGTAGACACAGGGGCAGAGCTAGATGGGGGGCCAGGGGTGGCCATGCCCAATCTTAGAAAATCATTGTCCACCCCTGTGGCCACCTCTACCCTTCATTTCCCTCTAATACAGACGGTGGCAGCAGTAATACTCCCAAGTGGAATACTCAAAAATTTTACATATATTACAATGACTTGACAACAAAAACACTGGTTAATTACGCACATCAATATGCTATCATTAAAGATGATAAGCACAGAATTCTTCAGAACTAGATTTTGTCTTTTACAGGGTAAAGACAAAACAATGTGTCTCTGCAAGTCATCTAGCAGTCTTCAGTGACATCATAGATTAACTATTTTAATACAAACTTAAATTATCAATTGATGTAGATATTAGTACTTGTAAATATTATTTTTATGCAGAATGATTATTGATAAAAGTATGTAAGTAATGACAATGGAAAAGATGTTCACTCAAAACCTGAAAGAATTTTATCCACTATACCTTTTATCTAGAAGCACAGATGTTTGAATATATTCGTCTACTTGTTAGCAAAGGTTGTGTGGGTTTGTGGAAAACAGTTTCTATTTATTTAGAAAATATGGAGGTTTTACTTGTTATTTTCCTGTTGGAACAGTGCAGATTGACTGTGAGGTTGTGGTGCCTATCTGAGGCCACCCCTCTGTGTACATTGGTTATTGCCTGGCCACCCTTATAAAAATGTTCTGGCTACGCCGCTCGGTGCACGGTCACTGAAGTGGCAGGTAAAACCAGTGTAGGAGCAGCTGAGGGGTATTTGGCACCTGCTGCCATCACTGTTGATTCAGGGTTCACCAGAATTATCTGCAGTGGTGGAACAGGAGCTGGGAGAGCAGGAGGAGGAGGAGCTGCTGAGATGATGAACTGCACAACAGCGGCACCCGCTGGTAGTCTAGCCTGGCACAGTAAAGGAGGCTGTCCTGCTATGTTTTTTTTTTGGGTGGGGGGTGGTGTCCACAGCAATGTCTCCTTCTGTAGCAAGGCCCTGGGTGAGGACACCTGTCTCCTGGCAGCTCTGCCTTCGATTAAACCTACAATCACAAATTGTCATCATTATGTTTTGCTGCAACATATTTGTTTCAGATTTTAGTGTGAAACCTATTGTATTTACCACTGGATAAGGGTCCTCTGGTTCAGGAGGAACCGCTGCAGACAGGTGGCCTCCATCAGGGAGTGGCAGTTTAGCACCAGTTCTCTGATGCGGAGGTAGTGGCTCAGCACTTTGGTCCACCGAGGAAGCCAGACAGACTGCAGCGAGCACAGGTTGATGCACATGTCCTCCACTAAGCAGCTGGTGCTGGACCACTGGGATAGGCCCCTTAAATGACCAATCAGACACCTCTTCACACTGTCCACACCTGGGGTCACTCCAGTGTTCCTGGGGGCCTTGAAGGGACCATGGGCCAGTTTGGTTATGTGTCTGGGCTGATACTGGATCCTCCTCTTGTCCCCATCAGGAAGAGCAGACCACAGGAACATGACCTCTGTGACCTGCTTCTGGTCCAGGTACAGAGTCTGAGGGACGGACATCAAGTACACAGCCAAATCCTGCACCTTATTCCAGCCAAGGATGCTATCGGGTCAAAGAGCTACAGACTGAGGATGTCTGAGGATGGGGACTGTCAGGTCCACCCAATCCTCTTCCTCTGGATCTGTTAATGACAGTCAGGGATTGACCATACTGTTCGTAAAGATACTCCATACCAGCATTACCTTTGGAAGTACACGGGAAAACAAAATAATGAAATATTAGTGAAGAACCTAACCCAAGTTAAATACTCTACTGACCTGACTTGACTACCTTGTTTAATAATTATCATTTAGTATTATCATCTGAATATAAAAATATCAAATATGAATATAAAAAAGACTTAATAAAATAATGCCTGATATACTTGAAGTTTTTACTTACAAAATACTGATTTTTAAAAGTAGTACTGCAAGTACAATTTGAGTCTGATACTTTTACTACTAGCTAGTTGCTTTGGTGCTTTCATATCAATGATGAATGTTTGTTGAAAGACAACACTATTAGAAAATCCATTATGGATTTTTATTAGTTGTTATCAACATATATGAGCTGACAGGAATCCTTCTTGCCTGTGTCCGCCCCCCAAGGTTGGCAGCGCTCGTGCAATGGAGTCTTCAGGATGTTGCAGCTGAGTCAGCTGAGTCTGTCCACAGCCTCCCTCTCAGCACTGCTGTAGTTCCCCCTGATCGCCTCCTCCATCTGGTCCTGGTTCCAGCACATCAGCACCTTCCAGGTGGTAGACCTGGAAGTGGGCGTCACTGGCACTGGTCCCTGCAGGTTAATCACAAACCAGAGTCAAATACTCTAACTCCTTCCTGCTGATCATTTGGTCCAGGTCCTTCTCAGAGACTGAACCAACCCCTCTAGTCAGAAGCTCCCCCCTGTTTGGCCAGCCCAACAGCAGCAGCATCTTCTTTATCAAGCTCTAAAACACACCTGGAAGGTTCATTGGTGTTTGATTGTTCATTAACCAAAAATGAGGCAAAGCAGTGAAAACAGTACAAGCACCTCAGAACCTGGCAGCCATTTATACTAGGTGGTGGCTGGGTTGGATGAAGCTCTAGTCAGTGATTAGGATCAAATAAAAGACACATTTTCACATTTACCTTGAAATTCTTTTTGGTTTGAGGAATGAATGCAGGCTGACCCTGGATCACTGCCACTTCTCTGTCCAATAGTATAAAAGAACAATGTGAATAATTAAAAACAATACTTATATCACAAAATTATTTGTTAAAGATCGTTTATGATTTCCACACCTTAAAGAACTTGTTCCTCCGTCCAAAAATCACTCTTTATGAGATGTTAGCTGATAGGGTTAAGGGGGAAATTCTTATGTCCTTCGGAACCACAGCCTTCGGGGAAGTGCACTCCTTATGCCATTGTCATCACGGCAAAGACAAGATTTTTCAGAGGTCCCACTATCAGTGTTTCTGATTAACTGATGGTCCAGGCACAGTCTGTGCTGGTCCCCCCCCATCCCATGTGACACTGCTGAGGGATTGGGGAGAGAGTCAGGGTCTAATATAAAAGAACAATTTGCATAATTAAAAACAATACTTATATCACAAAATTATTTGTTAAAGATGATTTATGATGTCCATACCTAAAAGAACTTGTTCCTCCGTCCAAAAATCACTCTTTATGAGATGTTAGCTGATAGGGTTAAGGGGGAAATTCTTATGTCCTTCGGAACCACAGCCAGTCTGTGCTGGTCCCCCCCCATCCCATGTGACACTGCTGAGGGATTGGGGAGAGAGGCAGGGTCTCATGACTGTTCAGGGAGAGGTAGTGGAGGTAGGGTCTGAAACTAAAGTAAGATTAAGGAATACAGTATTTTGTTGCTTTAAAACATCTACAGTGAGCAGAACATTCAACCATCATATTAGGTGAATTTTGTGCCATTATTGTTGCAAGCAGAGAATGTTTTTCATTTTCCTGAATTTCCTTTCATTTGTTTAAATGTAATATTTTTCCAAACTGGTTTTATATTTTCATATACATTTTTCTATCAAAGACTCTTTTTCTGATTAAGTTTTTCAGTTTTTTTTTTGCAATTTCTCTTTTCCAAAAAATATTCAATTTTACTTCCGGGGTGTGAATACTACATTCACATTAATTATGCACCAATCAGACCTCATACACACATTACAGCTATTGCGCTTTGCAAAGATATGTTTCAGTTGACATGACCTTTTTACAACTAGTACAATCCTTCTTTTGTGAGCAGCTGCTGATGTACTTTTACAAATACAGACAATTCTAAAAGAAAGATTTTTTTTTGCAACATCTATTCCAAGTTCATCAGCATTATGGAAAAATAAAGGAATACTCATTCTTACATTAGTTGTTTTGCTTCAAGCCATTATAAAACAATAATGTAGTGATAATGTACTGATAACATAATTTACCGTGAGAATTTCTTTTTACTTACTGAAGTCACAACTTTACTATAAGTATGCTTCATTTTCTAGGTGCTGTCAGGGAGTTTGCATATCTGAGAAAATCAGCATCATATGGACTCTGGAAAAAAGATAAAATGGATTTTCTTCATCTTTTTCTGCACACCTCCCCCATATCTCCATTTTTCAACAGGATGGAAGTTTGGCTGTGGTCTGCCTTTGGAGGGAATGTGTCTCTTTGGGCGACAGACTGACTTTGACACATGTCATTTGATTCCAAGAACTGACGATCCAGCAGCAGATTCTGTGAAATAAGACAAAAACTAAGCACATGTCACCAACATGCCATCAACATACATGTGTGCATTAGGTGTAAATTTTTTACTTTATTTCAGTTAAAAAAAAAAGTTTATTATTGTGAGGTATTTGTTTTTTTTTTTATTTCATGAGACATTTCTTGAATCATTAATTGAATATATACTGACAATTTATCAATTGCAGTAATAATTTATGTAATTTTGAATGAAATGGCTCTCCACACACATTCTGTGCCAAATGCATGTAACTCTGTTCATAGAGAAAGAGTAGCCCGGCCTATCGTCAAACATCAAGCTTAGAAATTCATTAAAACTACATTAAAACTACCCATCTATCTTAGCATTTAAATGAACGGTAGCTAACTGTCAGCACGGGTAGTCAAATTGGGAAATAAATTAAAAAAAAAGGGAACCGTTTCCAATTTTGGTTATTTCAATGTAGCACTTTTGAATGAATTATACTATTCTTTAAAATGTCACATATTTCGATAAAATACATACTTTCATGGCGGACATAATTAGAAAAGACCTACCTGCTCAGTGAACGGACAATGAAAAGCATTTTACCCACAAGGAACCGGGAACACAATGTTGAGAGACATTCAGGAACTGTCGGATATTTTGGCTTCGCCAACGAGTCAATATGTTTATTGAAAATACTGAATATTTTCAATATTCACTACTTTAAACCCTGACGTAGCAGCTAAACTACCAGACTGTCTTGCAATGGTTAAGTGTATATTGATCTTGACAGGCCGATCTGCAAATGTAACAGAAGCCGTTGTTGTTATGCTGATCTCACAGAAAACACCAGCAGAAACATGAAGGAACGTAACACGCAGGAGGGCTGTTTTTTTTTTTTTATTCTTATTATTTCTATTTAACAAATGTGCTGCTAACAATCGGGTTAAGTGACAATCTGTCACATATTTAGGTGTTAAAAACAAGATATATTTAAACTTACAGCTAGCAAAAGGAGTCCAAGCAGCCCCGTCGTGCCTGCAAGATGTTATGTAGAATCCAGGCAGGTGGAACGTGATTGGTCCAAAGTAAACCTTAAGGGGGAACCATTACTGTGTAGCACAAACCTATGGCGTCAGTTTAAAAAGATATATATTTTTTCATTCGGAGTTAAAATAAGTCCCAAATCCCTGTTTGTAATGATTCACATAACAAAAACGAAAGATTCAGAAAACTTCAGGATATCTTCAGATTAGTTTAAAATGGATAGCGAGCTATATCGGTGGCTTAGCCTAGCCACCGTGTTTACAGCTTTTCTTCGTCTGTGGTTGGAACCAACAGTTAATTACCGCCCCCTGCTGTACATATGCGTGTAGCGTCACCTAAATGAAAATCTGATTTTCATACATTCGGAGTTGAAATAATGATTAAACATGTTCAAATCAAACGCCATTTTTGTAATGATTCATATTTGTAATGGTTTTAACAATAATGGCTTTTTAATGTGATTTTTTTTTTCTTTTTTTTTTTATACACCTCCGAATGTATGAAAATCACGTTTTTTATAGATGTGACGCTACACACATATGGACAGCAGGTGGCGGTAGTCACCTGTTTTTTTTTTTTTTTTTTTTTTTCTTCACCCAAAAAAATGCTCATAGCTCTGGCCTAATACATCGTATCAATGTCACCGTTTAATTCTGGTCGGATAGGGGAACAACAAATGTAATAAAATAGCAGACACAGCAAAATAAATTGTGAAATAAATAAATAAATAAACCTTTTCTTGTTGAAGACAAAATGGAGTAAATTTAATATGGTGTGGAATAAGTATTAAAGTGTGTGGAATAAATGGCAGAAAACAATGAAATGTCAGAAAATGAAAATTCTAAATTACTTTCCTAAAAATAGTGGAAGTCAATAGCAGAAACACAGCAGACATGTTATGAATTAACAGCAAGCAGAAAGGCTTAAGACCTGTCCAGAAAGAGAGCAGAATCAAGCCAACATTGGAAAAAATAAGCAGAAAATTAATAAAATAGCAGAATAAATACTTAAAAAAAAAGTTGAATCTTATGTGGTTGAAAACAAAAAGGAGTGGCTTACAGTAAGGACAGGAAGTAAAATGTTAAAGAATATTTTATTGAATAAGTACTACAGTGTGAAACCCTATGTGGAATAAATGGCAGAAAAAAATGTTTAATTACTTTCCTAACAATATTTGAAGCCAACAGCAGAAACATGGCAAACATATTATGAATGAACAGCAAGCAGAAAAGCTTAATGAATGTCCAAGAAAGAGAGCAGAATCAAGCTAAAGTTGAAAAAATAAGCAGAAATGTATAAAGTAGCAGAAACAGCAAAAAATACATAGTATTAAAGTATGAAATCATTGTGGAAATGTCCCAACCTGTAAAAAAAACAAATTAAAATGGATTAAAATGTGTCAGTTGATCAGCATAGAGAAAACAGTGTCATCCTTAGAAGCTTGACAATCCAGAAACCTAAGTGCAAGACTGACCATAAGCAGAGGAAGGACAGAGAGAGAAGCTTTTAGAAAGAGAGCTAATAACTTAAAGAGCTGAATTTATCCTAAAAGTAGTTCCAAAGAATTCTTGAAATATTGAAAATCAAATACATTTTAACCTTTGAAATATTAGATAAGCATAGGGACAGATATATAATGGAGGCACATCTCATGAAAGGATGAACAAAGTGGTCTAGGTCATTCACAACCTTAATGGGAAGGAGAAATAAAATGGTTTGTCCCACCAGATCCTCTCATTGAATTAGCTGCAGTAGCTAAGCTTCAGTGAGTGTTCAGCTGCTAAACACCCCTCTGAACAAACGAATGGTGAGCCAAAACCGTATAAGCTATCCAAAAAATTATTTCCGTCTAAGCAACATCTATCCTTTGTCTCAGACTGGGGAAACTTTCATGTCTGTATGTCTTTCACACAAAAAAACGAAGCACAAACAAAATGGTGTGTCCCACCTGCTAGTTCCCATTGGTTTAGCTGCAGCACCTCACTCTCACATGCAGCAGCTCAGCCTCACAGAGCTTTCAGCTGCTCAGAAACGCCTCCGAACAAACGAGTGCTGAGCCAAAACCGTATTAGGTATTCAATATGCTGGGAAAAAATTATGAGTTTAATGTAGGAGCTTTTATTTTGAAGGGTCCCCGGAGTCTTATTTTGAAAGTCTATCAGGGTTGCGTGTGAAGGGAACGGTCATGGCCAGTAGTCATATTGTATCCACTTCCTAAAGTTAAATCAGTGTTGTCTCCCTCCATTAGATTAAAATGTGCTGTTTAAAGTGGTGGAGGCAAAATCTCTTTGAAGCACGGTTACCTTGACAACGTTAACGAGCCTGTCAGTGACAGAGAGACATGCGCTTCACTTTCGTTCCTTTGTTCTCAGGCTTTTTTGAATGAGAATATCAACTCCGAACAAACAAGTGCTGAAGACAAACCGTAAATGGTATCTAAAAAATTCTTTCAGTCTAAGCGAGAGCAATCCTTTGTCTCCAATTGGGGTAACTTTCATGGATGTAGCTCATTCACAACTTTAATGGGAAGGAGG